GCCGTACCCCAGCCCCTCCGAGGGACCTGCAAGACAGACATGCGTCGCAGAGCCGGCAGCACGGACAGGCTGGGCTCCCAGCTTTCCCCTCACGAAGGGGACCCACAGAAAGAGTCAGAGCCACATCACATCACATTATGCTGGGTCCCCTTGTGCTGCCCCATCGCCCTGCTTTAAGGGCAGGGCAGGGCAGCTCTTCGACTGCCCCACGACAGACAAGGTCGGTTCCCCACCGCGCCAGGGCTGGGGTCCTTGCAGCACCCAAGCCCCTGGAAATATTTTCCATGGAGGTTTCAAAAGCTCAGCAAGGTTTTGCTAATGGAACCAGAGATTCAGCAGTTGCAGCACAGAGTTAAGTGAGAAGCCGTAAGGAGAAGCTTTCCAATCCTGGGGAAAAAAAATAAAATTAAAAGAAAAGAGGAGGTGAGAAATAGAGCTAAAGGGAGCATGGACACATTTCTGCCGCACAACTAAACCTCCTGGGGTGAAAAAAATAATTCCCCAAAGTGGGAAAGGGACATTTCACAGAATCACAGAATGTTAGAGATTGGAAGGGACCTCGAAAGCTCATCTAGTCCAATCCCCCTGCCGGAGCAGGAACACCTAGATCAGATCACACAGGAACGCATCCAGGCGAGCTTTGAATGTCTCCAGAGAAGGTGCCTCCCTGACGCAGCCACCTGCCCAGCACAGCCCAGCCACGAGCCCCCACACTCCGACAAAGCACGGCAGCCCGGTGCGTGTCGCCTGCTGAGCGGCAGGGGATTAACCGAGATGTGCCCCAAGGACCTGGCCTCCCGCCGACTGTTATTTCCGTGCAGGATGATTTCAGCATTAACAATATTGTTTCTCCCTCCTCCAGAGAGTTCATTATTGCTCCCCTGCAACACAAGCCCCCTTGCACAAATTACTTATCGATCAGGCAGAGCTGCCTTGATGCAAGGCTGCTGGTGGCTGACACTGCGGAGGCACAGGTGCCCCGGAGGCAGCTGAGCCCTGGCGCTTGCATCTCCTCTCACCCCAGGACAAGCAGGACATCCTGGGAGCTTCCCCCCAGCTCTGCTCCCCAGCTGCTGGTCCCAGCTCAGCCCCCTGCCCGCTGCTGCCCGCAGGGGCGAAGGCTTTCGGAGCACCGCCACCTCTGCAGGCAGCCAGGGCAGGCTGCAGCATCCCCCCGCCCTGGCAGCAAAGCAGGGCAATGCCAAGGCCACGCTGCTGCAGGGCAGAGGCAAAAAATACCCAGAGAGGGATGTTTTTGTCTCTAGCAAGGCATCCTCTAAGGTAGATGTTTGAGGGTGTCCTGGGTTCAGCTGGGACAGAGTTAACTTTCTTCATCACAGCTAGCAAGAGGCTGTGTTTTGGATTTGTGCTCAGAGGAAAGGTGATAAGAAGCGATGTTTGTGCCGCTGCCAAGGACAGCAGACCAGGGAGGCTGGGAGGGAGCACAGCAGGGAGGGAGCACAGCCCCAGTTACTAGCCCAGGATTTGATCCTAGGTTTGGGACTGAGACCCAGAGTGGCCAATAATCTATTCCATACCATACACATCGTGCCCAGTATATAGGTGAGGACCCTCCAGAAGCTCATTCCTTTTGGTTCCGGATCTCTTTTGCTCTGGGTCATCTCACTCCAGGTGGTCACTCTCCCAAGGCCTTCCTCCCCCGACCCCGGTCAGATCTGGGTCTGGGACGCTCAGACTATTCTCTCCGTTCCGTGAGTGCGGTTTCAGGACTCTCCCTGCTCCGGGATCGTTAGCTGGGAACAGGCTGAGCCTTGGTCATCGGGTGGGGGGGGCAGTATCACTGTGTGTCACTCATTTGTATATTTGTATACAGTATTGTTTTCAATATTATTGTCGTTTAGTTATTAAACTCTTCTTATCTCAACCCATGAGCCCTTTTTTCCCTTTACCCCTTTATTTCTCTCCCCTATCCTCGGGTGGGGGGGGAGGGTGAGCGAACAGGGTCGGCTCCCAGGCAAGGGTCAACCCATCGCAGAGGGACACCTTGTCTGGGCCCTCCGCAGGCAAGCAGGTCTCCAGCCCATCCCAGCACTGAGAAGAAAGGAAGGCAGCTGAAAGGAAACCCAGCCAAAACCCGCTGCAGCTTAGCATGGCTTAAACCCCGCCGAGAAGCAGCTCGGGGAGGAGGTGCCGGGCGCTAAGGCTTGACAAGCCCTGCCTCTGCAGCGGTTTGGCTTTTCACCGGCCAGGCTCACCCTTGTACGTAACATCCAGGCTTCAATTTTAACTCATCACCTTAAAAACTGGGGTGATTGTTAAAAAGCCAGACAATCACAACACCAACGTGTTTGCTGGCAGCACAAAGTCATCCTGTTAGAGGCTCAGAAGAAATACATTGCACCTGTCAGAGAGAGGCAGAGGCATATGCATGATTAAACAGGATATTAAAAACAAGCCCCTAGGAGTAAGAAGTCATCCTTCAAGAAGTTCAAGTCATCCCCAGACAGGGGAAGTAGAAAATAAGACAAAACTCTGGCAAGATAAACTTAGCAAGGAAAAAAAAAAAGAGACTCTGTGTTGCTAAAACCAGGAAAAATGACAAACTGATGTGTTCATCAGGAGCAGGATGCATGTCAGAATGACTGCAGGGATAATAAATGATGGAGAAAGAGAGGAGGCTGCATAGCAAAGAAATTAATTTTTCTTGGCACCTGCATTCATTGTAGGAAGTTTCCCCCTGCCAAGACCCTTCTTTTTCAAGACTGATCTCAGCCTGTAGCATCCTTCATAGCTTTGGGACCGTTCCCTGACACAGTCCCGGCAGAGCAGCCGCATCGCGCTGGGGTGCCCCTACGATCAAAATCAGCTGTCACGTGCGACCTCGTGCTCAAACCCACCTGGGAGGCAGCAAAAGCCACGCTGTTTTTTTCTCTACGAAGCTCTGCAGGGATCTGGGGAACTGCAGATAAGGAAATCATACATCTGCACCTGGCACGTCGCAGTGTCTACCAGGAGCAGCGTTAGTGACACACGGGCAGACACAGCATACCGGGGTGCAGACACTGGTTTGCAGAGGAAAAAAGTCACATCTCACAGATCTGTCCCAGTTCTCTGCAAGAGTGGCAGCACGTGAACGAGGCCAACCCAAAAAGCCTGGATGGCTTTTGACAAACACCCCCCAACCCTAATGCTCTTGGAAAAACCCTAATCCACCACAGCATAAGAGCAAGGTCCTTAAAATATTAATAATGGGTTAAAAGAGAAGCATCAATGTTTGGCTTTCATAAGCGAGGCTGCCAGTGGATTCCAAGGGGGATTTACACGGGGGCTCTGCCACTCAGCACACACAAAAAGGGCTTCACAACACGGCAAACCTGAGATGACAAAGCACGCCTTGGAGATTTAGCTATTCAGGATAGCAAAAATGAGAGAGCAAAGAATCCAGAGGGACCTCCTGCCACTGAGCAGCAAGGTAATCAAATATAGCGGAGGAAACGGAGCTGTGCTGAACGACAAAGCAAGGTGCACGGGGGAAAAACAACCACAGCTTCAGTGGCGGTATCTGAATTAGCTGCTGCCACACCTGTAAGGGACCTGGGTATTAAAAGTTGCAAGAAAACATCAGCTCTGAGCAGCTGTCGAGAAGAACATAAAAGCAGGAACTGGGAATTTGGAGGCAAAGAGGAGAGAACAAAAGAGAAGATAATAACTCTGCCACCAAATAATTCCCTGGCGCAGCTCGACTGCTGCGTGCAAAGAGGTATGGCGGAGCTAGAGAAGATGAAGAAGAGATGAGGACAAACGTCTGGCTTCTGGCACAGGACAACGGAACGGGCCAGGAGGAGCCGGGGGAAGGCAGAGGAGGGTGGATGTCTCGCAGTGCCCATAGGCAGCGGGCAGAGCCCTGTTGGGTCTGGGTAAGCTCCAAAACGTTGCAGCATCTCGGCAGGCCAGCAAGGCAGGGTCACGGCGAGCACCGGCTGCAGCCCCCCCCGGACACCCCGCTCTCACGCGAGACCCACCGTTG